TTCCTCAGTCCCTGCTGTTAAATCCTGCTGGAAAGAAAATTAATGTCACTGTGGGTCTTACCTAAGCTACCAACAGGTGCTGCAGCTGGGCCTGATCTGCCCCAAATCATGGTGCTTCACTGGGGCTCTACAGCTCCCCCCTGCAGTAGCAGTACCCACCACGAGGACATGCTTCCCCACACCCGCAGCCCTGTGCAGGGGATGCCAACACCACCCACGGGCACCTGCCACCATGAGCATAGGGAGGAGATGGGCCATGTTTTCTCTACCCTCTCCTCCTGCCATATTATCTCCTACAGCCCTTTGCCCAGGCTTGGTAAGAGCAGGAGACAATGGAGTAGAGCTGGTTTGCTGGTGGGTCTTCTCAGGTCAGAGCAGTTTCCTCCTTGTTCCATGGCATCAAATTTGGTAGAGACATTAATGCCTGCTGCTGCATTTTTCCTCCTGATCCCCAGTTGCTGACAGCAACATTTGGGCTCTTCCTGTAGCTCCTGAGCTGGCTGACCTTGAAGGGGCAGAAGAAGAAGACCCTGAGCTGCTGATGGAGAACCAGAGCTGGTTGGATGGGGGGAGTGAACACGAGGTGGAGAAGGATGCACAGACAGGGCCCAAGCGTCGGGCACGGCAGCTCACCGAGGAGGACCTGCCCATCAACGACTATGTGAGTGCAGGGTATCACACCCTGGGGTGCCCCAACCATGCTCCTGGTGTGTCCTGGCCATGGTCCTGGGGTGCTCTGGTCATGCTCCTGGGGTGTCCTGGCTGAGCTCCTTGGGATGTCCTGTCCATGCTTCTGGAGTGCCCTATCCACACTCCTAGGGTGGTCTTGTCATGCTCCTGGGGTGTCCTGGTCGTGTTCCTGGGGTGCCCAGGCTGCCCTCCTGGGATATCCTGTCCATGCTCCTGGGGTGCCCTTGCCACGTGCCCCCCTCACTGCGCTGACGCTGGCTCTTCCCGGCAGTCGGAGAATGGGCTGGAGTTCCACCCCTTGTGGGATGAGCGAGGCTACTGCTGTGCCCAGTGCCG